CTACCTAAAAAACAAATCTGTCCGTAGGGAAAGGTGCCTCTGGGCCTGATGAGAAACCCCAAAACCATAAAGGAAAAGACGAAGGGATAGGACTAAAGAAAGTCCTGAATTTTTTGCCCTCTGAAAAGCAAAACAAAATAAAACATGACTGAGATTGAAAGGCAAGTATTAAACAAGAGAAAAGTATACGATTAATATTCATGCTACACCAAGAACTCTTTCAAATTAAGAAGAAAGATACAAACACTGTTATAGAAAACCTGGTAAAGCGCACAAACACATTAGAAGACTCACAAACGGCCAGTAAACAAGAAAAGAGGCCAACCTCAGTAATCACCAGAGTTGTACGTTAAATCAAGCATAAACCATCACATGGTGCCTAGCAGACTGGCAAAGACGAAAAAATGTCCACCTCCACATTGACAAGGGAACGGAGAAATATGTGCTCTATGTACTCTGGATGGAAATAAACACTAATTCAATATTTTTGAAGAGCAGTTTGGCAACGTATATATCAAAATTTAAAACGTACTTAAACCTTTGGACTCACCAATCTCTCCGCTTAATGACAAAGTAATGCTGCCATATGAGAGCCTTTTCTAGCAAAGTTGTACTGTGGAGAGACTGATGTTTACTGAAGCCTACTACGTGCTTGGAATTGGACTTGTGTCTTCTTACGTGACCTCATGGCAGCCTGTGTAGGAGGGACTGTTCCCCTCACTTCACAGAAGGGGAGAAAGTGAGGCTCACAGCCAGACTGCTGGTAAAATGCCCCAGCAGGAGTTAGTCCAGAAGGTTCTGGGTGTCAAGCACGAAGAGTTCTCAACTCCCTTCTCCCAAGTGCCTAGTCAGTGTTGGGGGTCACAGTGGAATCTGGACACTACTAGGTGTCCTCAACCTTGGCCCAGACCACACCCACCCCCTCCCGTACCTGGAGTCAGGTGTGTGGGATGCAAGGATTGACGGCAAAGGAAAACAGGGCCCAACCTTACCAGTCACTGGTCTTATGTCCAAACCCCAAAGCAGAGAGCTCTGGAAAGCCACACTGGACAAGGGGGAGCAACCCTTTACTAAACTAGCTGGGAACCAAACAAAAGCAGGGCCTGACGCCACTGGTTCTCCAACCCCACACACCCTGATACCCAAACCTGGGTCTTGGTCAAATCATATCCCAGCTACATGGAAGGAGAAGGAGGCATAAGCCCATCAGAGATGTGGAACCCACTCCCCCTGAAGTAAAATGGAGGAAAGGGAGCAAGTTTACCAAACCAACAGCATCAAAGAAGAGAACAGGGAGACGAGAGGGCTGTGCTCAGGCGCCACGCCTGGTGCCCAGGGAATCTCTCCCCTCCCGGCAAACAGCACTCGGCACAACCAATGCACATCAACACTCCTCCTCGCCCATCCCACCTGGGGACTTCTAAGGCCTACAGTCATAGGGGTCCTACTGTTACTAAGGTCTCCATGGTGAGTGCCTCTGCAGACCCAGAAGGAAGTCAGTGACACCTTGATCAGTGGAGGGCACCCACCTGCTGGGCTCGTGTGCAGAACATGGCAGGAAGACAGAGATGTGCCCCAAGCAGGTGACACTGAACAGGGCCCCCTCCCCCCGACTCTTGCCAATTTGATCCAGATTGAAAGAGAAACCTTTGAACTACTGCAAACACTGGGGATGGGAATCCATGATGTTCATACTCCACAGATGCTCTTTGGGAGCTCAAGGGGTCCCCCCGATCTCCCAAGAGCACCTCATCTGCTTTATACAGTCTGGTAAAAACTCTCAGTTATAGTAAGGGAAAGCTAGAGAACTGGATTAAACAAGAAAGGAACATTTTAAGTGTAACAAAATGTTAAACAGGCACTCTTTCAAGCCTCGGTTTTTTCCGAGTCTCGAAAGGCTAAGGACAAAATCATAACTGCCAAGAGCTCCCACACCATGGACCAAAAGGTGCAAGACCCTCCTTGCAAGGGGGAGGCCCCAAACTGGCTCTGCAGCATTAGCTGGTTGCCCACCTGCAGCCTGTGTAAGAGGCGCAGAAAAAGTATCCCGGGGTGGGGGGATGAGTCGTCCCCGTGATATGCTCCCCACTGCCGCCACAGGGAGGGTAGGTGTTCCCCCTCCTTCAATCAGTGAGAGGAGCTTCCAGGGACCATTCCAAGAGTCTGGCCTGGGTGAGTATAAGCACTACCATCTGACTCACACCTCAAGTCTGCAGGCCGGACGTGGAGAGCAGTAAGAAGCTGGTACTGCGCTGGGAGCAAAGGGCAAGCCCACCGATGGGGGCGGGGAGGCAAGGACACAGTTCCTAGGAACCAGAGGGCAGCCTGGATGGTGAGGAGGGGTGGTGCAGGAGACCCAGGAGCCAAGGAAGGGCCATAAGTGGTCAGCTAGAGGAGAAGCACTGCCCCGTGGAGGGAGCTGAGTCAGAGGTGCCCCCAAGGGAAATTCTGAGGAAGCGGCAACAAAGAGGGAGAAAACACAGGAAGAGGGAAAAGACAGAGCGTGGGTACTCTGGGCAGCTGGCATACCCAAGGGTGCCAGCTCTGGGTTCCGACTGAACAGGCCACATCAGAGGGGCCCTTGCCGCTCCCTTGTCTGTCTCGTCTGTTCCAACCCCAAGGGCCACAAAGCTCAGTGGACCGGGAGGGAGGCAATAGGACGGCGGGGTCTGGTGGAGGCACCTGAGCGTGTGCCCTCCCCCACCCCAGGCCTCCAGCAGGACCGGCTGCAGGAGTCCAGACTTCTGACCCCTATGCTGGATGGTCTGGAGTGACGTGACTGTCAACAGCAGAGAGACTTCGGGGCCCGCTAAGTTCTCAGCATCGACTGGGAAAAGAACTAATCCACAGAGTAGGCTGGAAAGGACGCTGCGGAAGAATAAAGTTGGTTTCTTCTTACACCTGACTGGGTCCAGCTCATTTAATAAGCTGGTTACATAAGGACATGAGGTATCTCCCGGAGTCCATGAGCAGGGACACAGCTGGGCCTCACAAGGACCAGGAACCAGAAACTGCCTGGAAAGCCTTC